AACAAACGTTCTACCGAAAACGGACATACTATCACTCCTCTTTCTGTCCTGGCCTATCTATCTATTCTTTACCATCTTATCCCACTGCCGCCCTATCACAACTTCTCACTTGTTTACATTCCACTCGTCAAAATGTTTGCTCTTTTGTGGAAAATCTAGTGTGCCCTCATCACACCTGATATTCACCCCAACCCCCTCTCTTTCGATCGGCTGATCCGTCTCGCGCCTACAATCCGGATCCCTTCATTGTCTCGTAGATCGGTTCCTTCTCTTTCTGGTTGACCGATTTCACTCGGTTCCAGTCGCAGTGTGCATTTCACTCCAGACGCTTTTTCTCAAGGCCCTAGAAGCACATGCACTGCCGCTTCACCGAGCAGAGCGCCTGGACTGTGATTCCCATGCTTGCAGATCTCGGGCCTTCACTTCACGGCTCCTCTCCTTGATTAAACCCATCTTATCTGAGCAAACTGTGGACGCCTATGTGGCATCTCAAGTGGATTTTCACTACATTTTGGCCATAGCGCCGAATTTCCGTGACTGTTTGCTCATCCGTCTGCCAGTCCCCCAAAGTTGTACTGGTTTATCCGAACAGACATTACGCACTGACAATGTCCTCGCTTGATTGCCGAAAATCCACGCACCCCCCTTTTAGCATCGCGATCCCTTTTTCTCCGGTTAGCGGTAGATCCCTGATCCAGACGTCTCCTTTTCACTGGTCTTGCTCAATTCTTGTTTTCCCCGAGTTTGCTTTAGCAGTAGGCAAAGGTATCGCTAACTCCTCCTTTCTCCAATCTCCTCTTCATTCGATTTCTCTCCCCCAACAGCATCAACGGCTTCCATAATCTTCCGCTTTCTCGTGTTTTCACCGTATCAGCCGCTTTTTTCTGCCGTCCTCCAATTCATCTCATGTCCAGTCCGTGCGATGTGATCCTTATGCTAATTTTTCTCGCTGTTTCGCCAATATATTTCTGTCTGCAGTCGCCGTTTGATAACCAGTAAACTCATGAACAATCCAATTTGTCTACCCTTTCATGTTGCATCGGTAGACTTGTGAAATATGTTGATTTCTTCTTCATGACCACCTGAATAATTCCATTTACTCAATATTGGGTGTAGTTTTTGAGTCAGCTGGCCGGAAGGTAAGCACATTCACTTTTGTGAATCCTTCATAGTCCCCGTTCTGCCATCGGCTTTTCGCATTATTCTTACCTTCATTCTACAGTTATGATGTGACTGAAAATGGAATATTCTGGCGGCATATGACTTCTTTCGCAACAATTTCTACTTGAGCGTCCCATTACAACGAATCACTTGAATCTCCAGGAACGGTAACCACACACCATCCTCTACTAGTGACTTTTTTCATCAATCTGGCTTACAAACTGCACAAACTCTTCCAGTTTTTCCCTTCCACGTGACCAAAGTGTGAATTAATCATCCACTTACCGCACGAGCACTGCCGGAAGTGCAAATATTTGTTCAAAGATGTTCCCGTTGAATGTAAAATAGGGGGTCCTTATTGTCAAGTTGATTAGTCTTGTTAACGACTCACTCCTGATCCGTTGCGATTCGAGGATATCATCTTCTCGGTCCAGGATCTCCAGCAGAGCCGTTAGTGTATTTTATTCAGAGATATTTGCATACATGGACACCCGAATATTCCATTTACTCAATTTTGGCCGTAGTTTTTGAGTTAGTTCGCAGGAAGGTAGGCATATCCACTTTTGTGAATCCTTCATCGTCCTATCTATCCTTTCATAGTCCCCGTTCTGCGATCCGTTTTTAACGGCCCGTATGTTCTTTTTATCACTTCGTTTGGGTAGCCATTGCCGAGGAAGATCCTAGTCAGTTTTCCCAGCTCCTCGTCCCAGAATTCTACATCCGTTAGGCGTAGTCTTCGGATGATCATGCTCCTCATTAATGCATCGGAAATTGAGTATTATTCCAGCATAGGACTTCTTTCTGAACAATTTCTCTTTGAGCGTCCCATTCGGACGAATCACTTCAACGTCCAAGAACGGTAACCGCTCGCCATCTTCTACTTCCAGCGTGAATTGAATTTTTTCATCAATCTGGCTTACAAACTTCAGAAACTTTTCCAGTTTTTCTCTTCCACGTGACCAAAGTGCGAAGTAATCATCCACGTACCACATGAGCACTGTCGGTTGTAGCGATGCCATCTTGAAGTTCTCTTCTATTTTGTTCATGTATACGTTGGCCAAAACTGGTGAGAGCGGCGATCCCATGGGGGGTCCAAATATTTGTTCAGAGATTTTCCCGTTGGTTGTAAAATAGGTTGTCCTTATTGTCAAATTGATCACTCCCCACCGATCAGTTGTGATTCCAGGATATCCTCTTCTCGGTTCAGGATTTCGAGCAGGGCCGTTAGCGTATTTTCTATGCATCAACTCCACATATAAACTTTTCCATAAGTCTGTTTCTTCCAGCCCCATGTTCATGATTATTTAAAAAAATTCATATAAATGTTTCAATGTGTTTGATTGTCTGCCATTTAATTTCTTGACTTTCAAACATATGCATTTTGCCAATTTGTGTATTGTGCCATACTTGTTGTTGATCGTTTCGAGAAAAACGTTGATTCGGGGATCGACTTCACTTGTCTCTTTAACTAGTTGTAGCTTGGTGCGGAGAACGGCAGTACTCACTGATGATGCCAACTACGATGTCAGCAAAACGTCTTAAAATGATGCTGAGAATTATGATAGCTATTATGGCAGAGAACTCGGACAATGTGCGTTGAAATAAGTCGCCCTGACAACAAGACCAAATTGCGAAAATGAGGTCAACCAACTTTTGTAATTCGAAAAAGGACTGTGACCATACCAAGGTCCACAACTTCTTAATCCTCATATCTTTAATTAAATCAGTTATTTCGTTTAAGGTAACAAAGGACTGATAGCTGAATTTTCCCACAATTATGTGAGTTGAACTGACATTTCCATTGAAGTTCACATAGCCTTGTCTTCC